TGAGGTCTTTTGGAAACCAGGAAAATGGGGTTTATATATCTGTGGAATGCACAGGGTGAGAGAAAGAACTCTTGTCTGAGGTAGGTGTGAACCCCATTTTCTTATTTTCCAACAAACCCCACAACCCCTAAGGATGCCTGCCATAGATGCAGGTGAAACGTCAGGAGATAATGCTTCTGTAACATGACCAAACAGCCTGGAAAATACACAACAACCCAACTGCTTAACACCCAGAAATTCCTTACAATAACAAGGTAACTACATGGTTTGCCAACTATTCCGGAAGAATAGCATGCTGAAATATTAAAGAGAGGGGGTCAGAGATGTGTAACAATGAAAATATATCTCTTTGTAAGGGCAGCATTGGGGATCTAGAAGGATGTTCCTGAAACAGTAGAGCCCTCTGTTCTTTTCTCTATAACAGTAGAGACATAGAAGAGCTTGCAGTTTCCAATTAGTGGATCTGCTCTGACTCACATTAAATAGGAAAAAGAACTTCTCTGTTTGCTCCATTACACCACTTAGGAAACATTTAAGATGGATGAAGAATATTTGGTCTGGTTTGATGAGTTTTCCAGGTTGTTTCTTGTCTGGAGTTCCCCTGTGTTTGAGTGTTGTTCTTTATTTACTGTTATAATATTAGAGTTTTTTTAATACTGGTAGCAGACAAGAAACAATCAGGGACAGCTAATCACCCCTCAACAAAGGATTCCCCCAGGCACTAACAAGCCACACCTAAAAGCTGTCAGGCCATCAAATGCTAATCAAGGAGGCCAATGGCAATAATAATAATAATAATAATAATAATAATAATAATAATAATAACAACAACACTTTATTTGTACCCCGCTACCATCTCCCCAAGGGACTCGGTGCGGCTTACATGAGGCCGAGGCCGAATACAACAATACAAGCAAAACAACAACAGTACAAGCAATTAAAATAAAACATAGACAATAAAATATACAACATTATCAATAAGACAACACGCAATTAAAAACAATGGGAAGGCCAAATGTAAAGTTAAAATGGAAATAATGCTGGGACATGGACGAAAGGTGATACTGGTGTTTGTGGAAGGGCATACGAGCAGATCTAAAAAGTGTAAAGTGCTTTGGAGGACAAAGTGCTATGGGATCATTATTCCGGGAAGGCACACTGGAACAACCACGTCTTCAAGCTCCTCCTAAAGACTGCCAAGGTTGGGGCCTGTCTGATGTCTTTAGGGAGTGAGTTCCAGAGTCGAGGGGCCACTAGTGAAAAGGCCCTCTCTCTCGTCCCCACCAACTGCGCCTGCGATGCTGGTGGGATCGAGAGCAGGGCCTCCCCAGATGATTGAAGGGATCGTGTGGGTTCGTATACAGAGATGCGATCACGCAGGTAGGCAGGTCCCAAACCGTTCAGGGCTTTGTAGGTAAGAACCTGCACCTTGAATTGGGTCCGGTAGATGAATGGCAGCCAGTGGAGCTCCTTGAACAGGAGGGTTGACCGCTCCCTGTAAGGCGCCCCAGTTAACAACCTGACTGCCACCCGATGGATCATCTGACATTACCGGGCCGTTTTCAAGGGCAGCCCCACGTAGAGTGCATTGCAGTAATCCAGTCTAGAGGGGACTAAGGCGTGGACCACCTTGGCAACGTTCACACTTGCCTCCAACAGACAAGAGATCTTTCTTTCTCTCACCCTGGACATTCCACAGATATATAAACCCAATTTTCCTAGTTTCCAACAGACTTCACAACCTCTGAGATGCCTGCCATAGATGCAGGCGAAACGTCAGGAGAAAATGCTTTTGGAAAATGGCCAAGTAGCACAAAAAACCTACAACAACCCAGTGATTCCAGCCATGCAAGTTAGAAGTCCGGGTGAGTTATTCTTTCCTCTGATAGCAGCTATTGAGCTGTGGTTCCTTTAAGAAGAGATTATTTTTATTTATTTATTTATAATTCAAACTTATATGCCGCCACTCCCCTGGGGTTGGAGCGGCTTACAAGAACAGGCTAAAATCTAACACAATTTAAAAACCATTTAAAACAATTTAAAAACTATTTAAAAACAACAATATCAGAGATCAAAGGCCTGTAGAAACAGGTATGCCTTACATGCCCTGCGGAAAGCTGATAAGTCCCGCAAGGCACGGACTTCAGGTGGCAGAGTATTCCAGAGTGATGGTGCCACTGCTGTAAAGGCTCTGCGTCTGGTTGCTGTTAGACGCAAGGTCTTGACACTGGGATTTTCCAACAGATCTTGGTCCTCAGAATGGAGGGATCTCTGGGGTTGGTAGGGGGTGAGGCGGTCCCTCAGGTACATCGGCCCCAAACCATGCAAGGCCTTAAAGGTGAGAACCATCACTTTGAAAGTGATCCGGTGCTCAATTGGTAACCAATGCAGCTGCAGTAAGATTGGTCTTATGTGGCATCTCATCGGAATTCCCGCAAGAAGCTGAGCAGCTGCATTTTGTGCCAACTTGAGCTTCCGGATCACCGACAGAGGAAGGCCAATGTAGAGTAGTCCAGTCTTGAGATGACTTTTGCTTTTATGAATAGGAATAGGGGCAGGTGGTTTGTGTAAGGAAGAGATTGTAAATACAGAAGGAGTGGTACTTTCTGAAATAAGGAAGATACTGGGTCAGGTGCCAAATACCGTAATCCCTCGCTACTTTGCAGTTTGTGGACTTGCTGTTTTGCAGTTTTTTCTTTCTGAGGCCAATGGACCCTAGAAAGGGAGGCTGGTGTGCAGGCCTGGCCTGAGGCACAGTGGGGAAGGCCTGCTGGACACTAAGTGTGACCTACTATAATAATATAATAGTAAAACTTTATTTGTACCCCGCTCTTTGATTGTAGGTGAACTATAAATCCCAGCAACTACGACTCCCAAATAACAAAATCAATTTTTTGTTGAGTGAAGGACATACATTGGGTTGTTAGGTGTCTTGTGGCCAAATTTGGTGTTGATTCGTCCAGTGGTTTTTGAGTTCTGTTCATCCCACAGACGAACATTACATTTTTATTTATATAGATGTGGGTGTATATATGTGTGTGCATATATTTGTGTGTTTATATGTGTACATACTGTGTGCCAAGTTTGGTTAAATTAACCTCCAGCACTACGTCCTAGAAGCACTTTATTAGAGTTTAAGACTCTCTGCACATTGCACTTGCCCAGAATCCCAACATATCACCTCTCACACCCAGCACTTTTTAACCTGTACCCTCCATTGGCCCGGCCCTGGTTTTATTGTGTAATAGTGTAATGTTTTGTTATTGCTTATGTTTTTTAATTTGCTTTTTTCTATTGTTGTTGTTTACTGCTGTTGTGTTGAGGCCTTGGCCTTTGTAAGCCGCATCGAGTCCTTCGGGAGATGCTAGTGGGGTACAAATAAAGTTTAATAATAATAATAATAATAAATGTCTTACTTAAGGAGGATGAACACTGTAAAGTAGCAATAAGAAACATCCGATCTTCCCCTTCTCCATTGTCTAGGGGCCCGCCGTAAGCCCGCGTTGTCCTTTAACGGACCCCATCCACATACTCTCCTGTGCGCCGGAAAGACTGATGACTGCCTAGGAGCGCCGTTACTTTTCCACCCGGGTGTCCACGAGCGCCGCCCGGACCGCCGTGACGTTTACCGGTGTGCCTATCTGAGTGTCTACCGTGCTACACGTATTTGCGTATGTTTTCCGACCTGCTAGGTTGGGCAGACGAGCTACGCGGACGAAGGAGGAGTTGAGCGGAAGCTCAACGGGGCAACAGCCTGTCCACCATGAACTCGTGAAACCGACTGATTGGCTGAACCATCTTTGGGTGGAGTGGGTTGTCGTAATCAGAACAGTTCGGTGTGCCATGTGTTATGCTGGGGTTCAGAATGTTCTTTGATTGTAGGTGAATTATAAATCCCAGCAACTACAACTCCCAAATGACAAAATCATTTTTTGAGTGAAGGACATACATTGGGTTGTTAGGTGTCTTGTGTCCAAATTTGGTGTCAATTCGTCCAGTGGTTTTTGAGTTCTGTGAATCCCACAGAGGAACATTACAAGTTTTTTTATATAGATGTGAGTGTATATATGTGTGTGCATATATTTGTGTGTTTATATGTGTACATACTGTGTGCCAAGTTTGGTTAAATTCCATCATTGGTGGAGTTCAGAATGCTCTTTGATTATAGGTAAAGGTAAAGGTAGTCCCCTGACATTAAGTCCAGTCATGTCTGACTCTGGGGTGTGGTGCTCCTCTCCATTTCTAAGCCGAAGAGCCAGCGTTGTCCGTAGACACCTCCAAGGTCATGTGGCCGGCATGACTGCATGGAGCGCCGTTACCTTCCCGCCGGAGCGGTACCTATTGATCTACTCACATTTGCATGTTTTCAAACTGCTAGGTTGGCAGAAGCTAGGGCTGACAGCGGAAGCTCACGCCGCTCCCCGGAATCGAACCTGCGACCTTTCGATCAACAAGCTCAGCAGCTCAGTGCTTTAACCCACTGCGCCACCGGGGGCTCCATTCTTTGATTATAGGTGAACTATAAATCCCAGCAACTACAACTCCCAAATGACAGAATCGATTTTTTTGAGTGAAGGACATACATTGGGTTGTTAGGTGTCTCATGTCCAAATTTGGTGTCAATTCGCCCAGTGGTTTTTGAGTTCTGTGAATCCCACAAACGAAATTTTGAGAGTTTTGTTAGAGTTCTGAAATTTTCACCACCAGAACTTTAGATTTTGTAAGTACTTTAGAACCATGGATTGCCCAGGCCTATTGGGGGGAAAGAAACACTCTGCACATGCTCAGATGCTGGAAGGATTAACAAAAAAGGAAGAAACCCTCTGCACATGCTCAGAAACTGAAGGGATTAACAAAAAACGCCTTTGCAAGGAGAGGAAAGGCCCTCCCCTCAATCTGGGCAGCAAAGCGGAAGTACCCCCTTTCCCCACTTCCGCTTGGGCCTCCTTCCAACTCTCCCTCAGCCTTCCTCTGGGAAGCGACCTTTCTGTTTCCCTCACCCTCCGGTTGGAGACAGGAAGTCCGTGTCATCCTCCTCGGTGGCCCCGAACATCCTCGCCTCCCTTCCGCCTCCTTTTCCTCCTTCTTTCTGAGGGAGAGACCAAATCTACCACACTGTCGCAAAAAACCCGGCGTCCTACGGGTCGCTAAATAGTCCAATCTTCTTCCGCTGAAAATGAGGAGGAAGCCACCAATAGGAAGCCCGGGATGGGAAGTGGGCGGGGTTTTTACGGCGGAGAGGGCCAATGGGGAGAGAGGGCGGCGAGCACGTGACGGCCCGGCTGGCCAATGGGAGGGGCGGAGCGTGAGGGGACACGTCTGAAGGGACGAAGAGTCGAGGAGACTTGAAGGGACGAAGTGAGTGAAGGTTTCAATGGAAGGAGGAGGAGGAGGAGAGGGGAAAATGGCCTGTTATGATTGTAATTCGTGTTGTTTGGCTTGTGTGTGTCTGGATCTCAGGCCTGGGCAAACTTGGGCCCTCTAGGTGTTTTGGACTACAGCTCCCATCATTCCTAACAGCCTCAGGCCCCTTCCTTTTCCTCTCAGCCCTCCAGGCTGAGGGGGAAAAGGAAAGGGCCCGAGGCTGTTAGGAATTGTGGGAGTTGAAGTCCAAAACACCTGGAGGCTGAGGAGGAAAAGGAAGGGGCCTGAGGCTGTTAGGAATGATGGGAGCTGTAGTCCAAAACACCTGGAGGGCTGAGGAGGAAAAGGAAGGGGCCTGAGGCTGTTAGGAATGATGGGAGCTGTAGTCCAAAACACCTGGAGGGCTGAGGAGGAAAAGGAAGGGGCCTGAGGCTGTTAGGAATGATGGGAGCTGTAGTCCAAAACACCTGGAGGGCTGAGGAGGAAAAGGAAGGGGCCTGAGGCTGTTAGGAATGATGGGAGCTGTAGTCCAAAACACCTGGAGGGCTGAGGAGGAAAAGGAAGGGGCCTGAGGCTGTTAGGAATGATGGGAGCTGTAGTCCAAAACACCTGGAGGGCTGAGGAGGAAAAGGAAGGGGCCTGAGGCTGTTAGGAATGATGGGAGCTGTAGTCCAAAACACCTGGAGGGCTGAGGAGGAAAAGGAAGGGGCCTGAGGCTGTTAGGAATGATGGGAGCTGTAGTCCAAAAGACCTGGAGGGCCTAAGTTTGCCCATAGCTCATCTATATGTAGCAACTGAGGATTTTGGAGGCCTACCCATGTCTTGTGTTTCAATATGCAGTTTCTAGAAATGTATTTCAATATGTATCTTATATACAAAGACATTTTAAGATGTGTACTTGTAGAATTTTGTAATGTTTCTGTGTTTTGATTCTGCCCTAACCTGCCTCAAGCCACGAGGCGACTCAGGTAAGAAATTAAATTAATATTATTATTTGAAACACCACAAGATGAGTCCACAGCAGACAAGATCACTCTGCTGGCTGTTGTATTGGATCACGCGCCGGACACTTCCCAAGTGTCTAGGACTGTGTGTTATTATTGTTATTATTATTATTATTATTTGAAACACAACAGACAAGATCACTCTGATAGGTGTTGTATTGGATCACACGTCGGACACTTCCCAAGTGTCTAGGACTGTGTGATGTATCGGCAAATAATGCGTGCAGATCCCAGTAAGGTGCCCTTCTGCAGCTGGCAATCTTGTCAGCGCCAATTGTGTTTAAGTGCATTATTATTATTATTATTATTATTATTATTATTATTATTAGGTTGTTGTAGGTTTTTTTCAGCTACATGGTCATCTTCTAGAGGCATTCTCTCCTGACGTTTCACCTGCATCTATGGCAAGCATCCTCAGAGGCAGTGAGGTCTGTTGGAACTAGGAAAAAAGGATTTATATATCTGTGGAATGGCCAGGGTGGGACAAAGGACTCTTGTCTGCTGGAGCCAGGTGTGAATGTTTCAACTGACCACCTTGATTAGCAATTGATGGCCTGGCTGTTGTTGGGTGTGGCTTGTTAGTGCCTGGAGCAATCTTTTGTTGAGAGGTGATTAGATGTCCCTAATTGTTTCCTCTCTATTGTTTCACTGTTGTAATTTTAGAGTTTTTTTAATACTGGTAGCCAGATTTTGTTCATTTTCATGGTTTCCTCCTTTCTGTTGAAATTGTCCATATGCTTGTGGATTTCAATGGCTTCTCTGTGTAGTCTGACATGGTGGTTGTGAGAGTGGTCCAGCATGTCTGTGTTCTCAAATAATCTGCTGTGTCCAGGTTGGTTTATCAGGTGCTCTGCTATGGCTGACCTCTGGTTTCATGTTCCTTGATTCCTGGACACAGCATATTATTGGAGAACACAGAAATGCTGGACCAGAGGCAAACTGGAGTAAGTGTCTCTGAATCCTTTTGTTTGATTCAATCAACTGTTTCTTTTGGACATACTCCTAAGTCTGGCTCTTTAAGGCTTCTGGGTTCCGACAATTACAATACGATTTATAATCAAGGCAAGACTAGAAAGAATCTCAGAAACCAAGGTTCATATTTTCTCTCTTGGTGAAAGCTGCTTTTTGTTGACAGAAGGAAACTGGCACTTTAAATAAATCATGCTTGTGTTGATCTAAGTCTCGCTTCTCGCCTTCGTGTTGAATAGAGGCTTGTATGGTTTGGATTATTTATTTATTTTCTCCCATCTCTGCCCTCGTGATGACATAGCCATCAGGCACTTCCTGAAGGAGTTGCCAGATCAAGGTGGATAAACATTTCAGGCATCTGGAAAGTTAGGCTGAGACCTATTACTCCAGAAAAGGGCTTTCTCAGCTTTGGGCAAGGCTGCCTTTCCCCACTGGATGCTGACTGTTCGACTTTGAAACCTGCAGGTGTAGCTCAGTCTATTCTGCTGTGCTTTCAGAAAACCGAGAGCACCTTTAGTTGCTTTCCAGGCATTTGGCCAGATTCTGCAACTTTTTAAAAATGCCTTGGCAAGAAGAGTTGGCAGCATATTCTCCAAAAGGGATTAAAACTTGATTTGCAAAGACTTTTTACACTGTGCGGGTCCATCTACAATGTGGAATGAATGCAGTTTCCCCCACTTGAACTGCAAAGGCTCAATGTTGCATAGTCATAGAACATTTAGCATAATGTCAAGGTTTTTTTTTATAACTCTGTTTGTGTTTTTAAATACAATAAATAAATTGTACGGACACAATAAATAAATCAGAAGCGGGATGGATATCTGTCAGGAGTGCTTTGATTGAATGCATGACGGAAAGGGGATGGCCCTGGAGGCTCTGTGAACCTCTGAACATAATGAGAAACGAATGGTGCACTTTACTATGCAGCATTTCGTGTTTCAATGGTTCTCGGAGCTGAGTCAATAGTCCAATGTTGTTCTTTCTTGGCAGTGAACCGATATTCAGTATCCTGTTGCCAAGAATTCAGGCTAATGCTGAGTGGGTGTTTCCAAAGCCGTGGTGAGCTGCTCCAGAGTGAAGGTTGATGTGTTCCTGAATTGTCCACCTTCTGGCTGGAGACGTGGCTCTTCTTTACCTCAAGCAGAACAATCACAACAAGGTAGAAGTACTTCCAACGTCTAGGTGAGTTATCCTTTCCTCTCATAGCAGCTATTGAACTTTTTTTTTTGGTTGTGTCAGGAGCGACTTGAGAAACTGCAAATCGCTTCTGGTGTGAGAGAATTGGCCGTCTGCAAGGACGTTGCCCAGGGGGTGGCCGGATGATTTGATGTTTTATCATTCTTGTGGAGGGCTTCTCTCATGTCCCCGCTTGGGGAGCTGGAGCTGACAGAGGGAGCTCATCCGCCTCTCTCCGGATTTGAACCTGCGACCTGTCGGTCTTCAGTCCTGCCAGCACAGGGGTTTAACCCACTGCGCCACCGGGGGCTCCAGCTATTGAACTGTGGTTCCTTTAATAATAATAATAATAATAATAATAATAATAATAATAATAATAATCTTTATTTATACCCCACCACCATCTCCCCCAATGGGGGAGTGGCTTACATGGGGCCAAGCCCGAACAACAAATTACAATACAAAAAATACAAAATTACAATAAAATAAACAACATAACATTAAAGAATAAAACATTGAAGCATATAAACAATATACATAGAACATAAAAACCAAACATAATGACAGATGTACATAGAATGATTTAAAAACTCCGGGTCTTGAGACTCTTTTTAAAAGTTTCTAAAGTAGGGGAAGAGAATATTTTTGGGTTTTTTGTACAGGAATGGGGTGGTTGGTTTGTATATGGAAGAGACTGAAAATACAGAAAGGATGGTACTTTTTGACATAAGGAAGGTAGGGCATGGTTCATAACTGGGTCAGGTTCCAAATAAGTACAGTTGGTCCTTCACATTTGTGGGTTTGACTTTTTTGGATTTGGTTCAAATATTGCCTCTATGGATCTTTATATTTTCTGATGCAATGCTGTGATTGGCTTCTGCAAGAAGTTGAGCACAGAGTCATGCTAAAGGAGCTAGAGCGGTGTTTCTCAACCTGGGGGTTGGGACCCCTGGAGGGGTCGCCAAAGACCAGCAGAAAACCGATATTTCAGATGGTCTTAGGTGCCCCTTTGGCAGAGAAGGTTGAAGATCTCTCTGTCTGTCTTCCTTTTTGGAAACAGATGGTGAATCCTCCCACCAAAGGCCCTCCGCCGCTTTGATTGGCCAGCCACTCAGCCAAAGTAAGGTCTGTTTCTGAGACGCCACTTAGGAGAAAAGAGAGCACGCATGCTCAGCGTCTGTCAGCATGGTGCACATATGCAGGCAAGGGAGAGCGGGCGAGTTCCTTCAAGGCATGGGAGTTCTGTGTGGGATGCTTGGCCCATTTCTCTTCTTCTTCTTTTTTAAAAATAATTTTTATTAATGAATAATATTGTTACATGGAAAGTGGGGGAATATTGCGAAGGAGATAGAAAAGTAGGAAATGATAGTTGAGCCCAGAAAGAAATTAAACAAAGAAAAAAAATTGAAAAAGTTAAGAGAAAAATTTTGACACAAACAAAAATGTGTTCAAAAAGTGTGGGATCTCTCCAGTTTAAAAAAGAGGAGAGAGAAAAAGAGGGAAAAAAAGATTAAAAAAATAAAATAAAAAATAATAGTTATAAAAAAACAAAAAAAGAGTTGGGTTTGACTTCCATCTGTTCTTTGAAGATCCTTTATATACTTTTTCCTTTCATGTTGGTCACAATTGCTCTCCTGGTTTATTATGTCTTTTAAGAAATGACCTCTATTTTTTGTTGTTTAAGGTAGTTTTTTACCAAGTCCCATTTTATTTGTTTCTTTGGAAATCCTTCATTCGGCGATAACCAATAGGTTAGTTCGTCCATATTCATTATTTCCAGTATTTAACTTTGCCATTCTTCTCTTCGTAGTATTTCTTTATGTCTCCAGTTCTTCGCATATATAAAGCTGCGGTGGTTAAGTAGGTTAAAATAATGTCTTTGTTTTTGTCTTCTTTAATATCGAACATTCCGAGCAGGAAGAACTCTGGTTCCTTTTTTATTTGTATTTCTGGAATCTTTTGTATATCCTTATGTATCATACCCCCAAATTCTTTGGCTTTTGGGCAGGACCACCAAATATGGAAAAAGGATCCTGTTTGTTGTTCACATTTCCAACATTTGTTGGATGCAATTTTATAAAATTTCGAGATTTTTTTGCGGTGTAATATACCATCTATGTATCATTTTTAGTAAGTTCTCTTTTAGATTGTACAAATAAGTATGTTTCATTTTTTTGGTTCCAGATTTTCTCCCATTGATTTAATTGAATTTGGTGACCTATATTTTGTGCCCAATTGATCATAGATTCTTTTATTGGTTCTGTTTCTGTGGCCCATTCTAAAAGTTTTTTTTATAAATTTTTGTAACTATCTTGTTGTTGGTTTTCATAATATTGTCCCAAAAACCTTCTTTCTCTGCAAAATTTAATTCTTTATCTGTTTTTTAACAGTCTAGTAGTTGTCTGTAATCCAGCCATGATAAGTTAGCAAAATTTTCTCTTACCTCTTTCTCTTCTATCAGTTCAAGTTTTCCTCTCACTTTCTTTAAGACATCTCTATATGTAGGCCAGGTGGCCCATTTCTCTTCTTGGTGGGGTTCAGAATGCTCTTTGATTGTAGGTGAACTATAAATCCCAGCAACTATAACTCCCAAATGTCAAGGTCTATTTTCCGCAAACTCCACCAGTGTTCACATTTGGGCATATTGAGTATTTGTGACAAGTTTGGTCCAGATCTGTCATTGTTTGAATCCACAGTGCTCTCTGGATGTAGGTGAACTACAACTCCCCAACTCAAGGTCAATGCCCACTAAACCCTTCCAGTACTTTCTCTTGGTTGTGGGAGTTCTGTGTGCCAGGTTTGGTTCCATTCCATCGTTGATGAATGAAAATACATTCTGTGTATCAGATATTTAAATTACAATATAAAACATGCATTTAAAAAAGTAGCAACGAAAATAATTTTATGGTTCGGGGTCACCTCCACACGAGGAACTGTATTTAGGGGTCATGGCATTAGGAAGGTTGAGAAACACTGACCTAGAGATTCCTAACTGAATGCCAGTGAAATGTGTTGGGTTCATTTTCCCTGCACAAAATGGCTTGGAGGAAGGGAGACACTTTAGATCAGCTTGGGGGTTAATAATTACACTGCAGGCATACACAGTAGATCTGGATGCAGCTTGGCAATGCTGTTGGAAGCTACTTGGTGTAAACTTTGAACTGATGCGGAACTTGTATGGGAGGAATGCCAGCTCTGCTTGAGGATATTGATCTGCTAGGAATGGGGGCAAGACAAAGAGGACATGTAAACCTCCATTGGCAGTTTCTGTGTTACTACATTCAGAATGAGTGAGTGTCAGGAGCGAACCAAACAGTTGTATTGCATTAAAAACAAACCAACAAACAAAACACAAAGTTTTCAAGCTTGGTATTCTATTAAATGTCCTTTGACCAGTATCGGGCCACTTGAAATGCCTCTGGTTTTACTATAAGAAGTATGGTGCATGTGGCAGGGCTTAGGTTGCACTGCAGCAGGTGGTCAGCTCTTCTCCACACTCGTATGTCATGGGTTTCCACTTTGTAGCCCCATTTCTTAAGGTTGGCTCTGCATCTCGTGGTGCCAGAGCGAAGTCTATTCAGCGCCTTCCAAGTCGCCCAGTTTTCTGTGTGCCCAGGGGAGTCTCTCATTTGGTATCAGCCATTGATTGAGGTTCTGGGTTTGAGCCTGCCACTTTTGGACTCTCGCTTGCTGAGGTGTTCCAGCGAGTGTCTCTGTAGATCTTAGAAAACTATTTCTTGATTTAAGTCGTTGACATGCTGGCTGATACCCAAACAAGGGATGAGCTGGAGATGTCACTGCCTTGGTCCTTTCACTATTGGCTGCTACTTCCCGGCAGATGTCAGGTGGTGAAATACCGGCTAGACAGTGTAATTTCTCCAGTGGTGTAGGGCGCAGACACCCCGTGATAATGCGGCATGTCTCATTAGGATGTGGTGAGATGTGTTCCACACTGGGCATGCATACTCAGCAGCAGAGTAGCATAGCGCAAGGGCAGATGTCTTCACTGTGTCTGGTTGTGATCCCCAGGTTGTGCCAGTAAGCTTTTGTATGATATTGTTTCTAGCACCCACTTTTTGCTTGATGTTCAGGCAGTACTTCTTGTAGGTCAGAGCACAGTCCAGAGTGACTCCCAGGTATTTGGGTGTGCTGCAATGCTCCAGTGGGATTCCTTCCCAGGTAATCCTCAGAGCTCGGGATGTCTGTGTTTTAGATGGATTAGGGATCAGCTGGTTTTCCCTGTAATAGGCAGTAAGAGCACCTAGAGCTTCGGAGAGCTTCTGTTCAACCATCTCAAAGCTCCCTGCTTGAGTGGTGATGGCACAATCGTCAGCATAGATGAAACTCTCTGTCCCTTCTGGCAGTGGCTGGTCATTTGTGTAAATGTTGAACATGGATGGAGCGAGCACGCTCCCCTGAGGCAGGCCGTTCTTCTGTTTCTGCCATCTGCTTCTCTGGCCCTGGAACTCAACAAAAAAGCTCCTGTTTTGTAGCAGGTTTCCTATGAGGCGGGTGAGATGGTAGTCCTTTGTGATATTATACATTTTTCTCAGGAGGAGGCGGTGGTTCACAGTATCATAAGCTGCTGACAGGTCTATGAAGACAGCTCCTGTGATCTGCTGCCTTTCAAAGCCATCTTCTATGTGCTGAGTCAGGTTCAGCACTTGCGATGTGCAGCTTTTGCCTTTTCACCACTCCCTGCTTGTGCTTGAGCGGTGATGGCATGATCGTCAGCATAGATGAAACTCTCTCTCCCTTCTGGCAGTGGCTGATAATGTCTGTACATATTGAACATTGATGGAGCAAGCTTCAGAGAGGCCGTAAGAGCACCTAGAGCTTCAGAGAACTTCTGTTCAACCATCTCAAAGCTCCCTGCTTGAGCGATGATTATATGATCATCAGCATAGATGAAACTCTCTGTCCCTTCTGGCAATGGCTGGTCATTTGTGTAAACGTTGAACATTGATGGAGCGAGTATGCTCCCCTGAGGCAGGCCATTCTTCTGT